AACATTTGCAGTAGACCAGGTGAAACCTGTCCTGGTGAAAATAAGGAGAGTCATTACGTTTTTTTTGACTCTTTTGGACATTTCATTTTGAGACACTCAGTGAGAGTGGTCTGTGTACGCTAAAATACATACAGCAGCTTTGAGCCTGTGACTGCCATATTGTTTAAATTGTATTTTATTGTCTGTCCTATGGAGATGGATATTTCATATAAGACACTCAGTGAGAGTAGTCTCTTTGTGTTTACACTACAGCAACAGCTGTGAGTCTCAGGTGCCAAATTGTTTACATTTTCTTTGCACAAAACCCAATTGTGAAAGGGCTTAAATAAGTTGTTTTACACGTTCTACTGTTTATAAGGCATAAAGTGGTATCCTTTTTGTAATACCATACTGAATAACATCTTTTTTAAAACTTTTGTTCTTTGCTTATTTGCATCATGTTTAATCGCACAATATCGCAACAAATTGCATTGTATCGTATCGGATCACATTGATTTGAACTAAATGTGTATCGCATCGAATCACATCGTGAAGACGGTGAAACGTATTACATCGTGTCGCCAGAAAATTCCATGTATCGTTTAAGTATCGCATCGCTGGTAGTGCATCAAGATGTGTATCAAATCTCCTCAGTGCTGAGATTCACATCCCTAACGAATACCTGAGAGATTCTCCTGCTGCACTTAGGAATCTCATTGACAAGTGCGGAGGTAGGTACCAAGTGTTCAACAATCTTCAAAACTCCAATAATCCGGCGCAGGTTCAAGAACTCCTAAGTAAGGTGGACAGCATGGTGAAGCAGAGTAAAAGCGGGTTTTATAGCAACGCTATGTTCGAAGAGGCCGAGGCTATCAGGGAAGAGCAGAGAAGGATAATGTTGGAGAACAAGCGCAGGGGAAGCAGCGGAGCCTCGGAGCAAATGAGGGAAGAGGCCGTTCGCTCGTCACGTGTGCTGGAGAGGTTGACGCGCGTGGTGGTGACTGGCGTCATCGGACTGACAGTTGGAATTGCCTTTGGCGTAAGTCTGACCCCGACAGTGGCCGCGGCGGTCTCAGGAAAGACCGCTATGGCTCTGGGGGCAGCGATTGGTGGTGCGATCAGAGTCGTCGCTGGTTCAGAGGCAAAGAGTTTCAAGGAGGGAGCATCCGATACTATTGAACTGGTTGTTCGTGTCGGAGGTTTGGCTCTTCAGGCTTCCTTAGGTGTGGGGGCTTGCTTGGGGGCTTGCTTGGGGCCAGCCCCCCCCAGTTGGAACTTTAGCTGCGGAAACGGGGCAGCAATAGTTCAGGACACTGTGGCAGCTGCGCCTGTTGCAGCAGCAAGATATCCTGTCCAAGATACACTCACTTCGGTTGGAAAGGCTGTGGCAGCGGTAACCGTATCAAGTACCGCTGCCATGGAAATCATCAAATGTAAAACCAAAGACTCAGAAAAAACTACTTCTCGTGGAAAAAATGAACACGAACAGTGTGCCTCTGACTATCTCTAAAATATTGTCAGAAAATGACTGTACTGTCTCAGCCAGATTTGTCAATTCTGTGAAAGAGGTCCTCCATGATGTCCAGGACTCCTCCATTTCACAAGGCAATGGTGCATCCCAGTTACCATTCTCTGCAGTGAGTTCTCTTCGAATTGCCTTGCCTTGGATAGTAACTGGAGCTGCAAATGCTAGAGGGTCATAGAGGTTGTTAATGGTGGATAAGACACCTCGTCAAGTGTAAGGCTTTATCGCATCGAAGACAATGAAGACAAAGCAGTCTGTTTGTAGATTCCAATTGAGTCCAAGACTCCGTTGCATTGGCATTTTGTCTGTGTTTAGGTTGAGGTCTTTCAAGTCACTTGCGTGGTCCGTTGATGGGAAGGCTTCCATGAACCTCTTTGCGGTTTGCTGCGATCTTGTGTAGTCTCAGGTTTGATCTAGAGAGGACATCTTGCGTTTTCTTTACCAAGTCAATAGCAGCTTCAACTGTAGACAGAGACCTCATCTCAGGCTTCTCAATGTTTTGCCCAAGAGACATGAGACGTTTTAATGCCAGGGGCCTGTTGTTGTGAAGCCGTCGGCGTGGATTCTTAAAGGGTAATGGAGCTACCCAACTGTTGTTGGAATCTTTATGTAGTCCATCATTCATAATTTTCATGAACGAAGCATCTCGAATTGATGGAGCCACTTGGTTATCTTCTTTGGTTCGCTGGAACACATTACATCCAAGATGGTCATTATCGCAGATACATTCCTCTTCAGAGCATGTTGTGAGATGGCTCGTCAACTGGATGTCGCTGTACTTTTCTTTCACTTGGAACACATTAGGGCATGGCTTAAAGCTGGATGGTCGTTGAAGCTTTGCGGTGCTTGTATAAAAGGAGCTGATTGTTAGTGGTTTGTGGATGCTGCTAAGGCACGTTTCCGACAACAACCCACCCAACATCTAGCTTCTGTGCATAGGGATGGTTGTGTGAGCCATTAACTTGTTTGCGTACCTTGTGTACTCTGATGACGTCCCGACCTAAGAGAAGCATGATTTGGGCATTTGGATCCATTTCTGGAATGAGATGAGGTATTGACTTTAAATGTGCACGATGACGAGCGACACTTGGAGTTGGAATTTCGTCTCTTGTTGTTCGGAATGTCATTACATTCAGTAAGACTGGGTAGTGGAATTCTGAGTGTTCCATCCAGGGATTCTAATTCATATCCATTTGCCCGCCTTCCTGTCACTTCTTTTACTCCCGCGCACATTTTCAGTGTGGATGGGACGCTTGGACTTTTGTCAGCAAACACATCAAAGAACTGCGAGCGGGTCAGGGACCTATTGCTTTACTCATCCAAAATTGCGTAGACTTTCACCGCCCTCTCTCTGTGACCACCTGGATACACCTTCACAAGGCAAATCTTTGAACAGGATCGGTCTGTGAGGTCTCCACCGCAGACTTTGGTGCATTTGGTTGTGATGTCGGATTCAGGCAAAGTTTTGACATCCTCCCCGCCATGCTCTGGAGCAGGGACTTCCACTTCCATACATGCTGTGGGCTCTGAATGTAGAGCCGTGCAATGTCTCTCACTCTTGCACTCAAAACACTGAAACTGGACTTTGCAGTTTTTGGCAATGTGCGTTGACGAACAACATTTGAAGCGAAGATTGTTTTCTTTCAAGAATGTTTTGCGGTCTTCTATGGGTCGTTCTCCCCAACGCACAACATTTGTGCAAAGGGTGTGGTTTCCCATGAATAGGACACATTTTGTCAGCGTCCACTGCTTTCGTTGGGGACTCAGTCAAGTCAGGATCCGTCTTGGGTTTTATCTCCATTTTGTAAGCTGAGATTTTCTGATTCTTTTTTGTCTGCCATGTTGATTTTTTCAGCCTTGCATACACTGTCTGTCTGAGTGATAAAGCTGAAGCTTGGATCATTGGCAATGCTTGCTTCTTGATGGACAAAATCTACAAATAAACTGAAGGGTGGATAATGCACATTCTCTCGTCGCTTATATGACGCACCAACTGAAGCCCACTTCTCTTGCAGGCGAAAGGGAAGCTTGTGCGCTATCGGGTTAACTCCTCTAGCTGTCTCGAGGAAGGACAGACCAGGTAAGACTCCTTCATCCTTAGCTGAGAGTAGTTCCATGAGAAGATCACTTAACTTCGTTAACATAGTATATTCCCTGTTCCCTATCTTTGGAAAGGCGGCAATGCGTTTGAAGAGAGCATCTTCGATTGCTTCTGTTGAACCCTAAGTTCTTTCGAGTCTTGTCCATAACATGTCTAGGCCTGCTTCTGGATTATTGACATGAATTGCCCTTATCCGTTCGGCATGTTCTTTTGACTCCTCACCTAGCCATTTTAGAAGGAGATCAAATTCTTCACTTGCTGTTAAATTTAAGCCGTCTGTTGCAGAGTGGAATGAGCGTTTCCAGGCTCTGTAATTCTGTGGCTTGTCATTACACTGGAGTAAGCCGGTAATACCAATTCACGGCGTGCTAGGTATCTCACAAATTCATTTGCATTTGAGTTACTATAGTTGGAATTAGGAGACATAGGATAGGATAGGGGTGATGGTGTGGCAGTGTAGAATGACATCTTTCAAACTTCACTTGTCGGGGCCCACGAACATATTCATCCTTACAAGGTTGAACAAGTTGGGAAATATTGTGTGGTGTTAGTAAGACATCCTTTTCAATTGGCTGGTGTTCTGTTTCCAAGGTTTTGGTTTGTTCAGCAACATACTGTTGAGTGCGCTGCGTGGCTGTTAAGGGGGTAGAATCCAACACAAGCATTTGGCTACGTTGTTGGTTCACGTTATCAACAGCAGCTTCCAGTGCTTCTGCTTCCGCAACGGCTGCTGCAGTTTCTTTCTTGTATTCAAGCATTTGCACTGATGCTTCCAACTTAGCTTTTTCGAGTTTCAGGTTAATTTCTTCCGCAGCGTAGTAAAGACGTGCTTTTACAGCTTCTGCTTTTGCTCTTGCTCTAGCTGCGGCAGAGGATGTTGTTGACGAGGCATTAGAGTGCACAGACGAAGCATCTGAATGTGTCTTTGACATGGCTACTTCGTTTATTTTCTCCTTCTGACTTCAGGACACTGATTTGTTGGACTACTTGTTGAAAGTGATGGTTTGTTCGTACCAGCGTGTTCACGTTATCTTGCCCGCTAGGAAGCCGTGGTTTCACTGTACTGTCTCGGCCAGATTTGGACAGTCAGCTAAACTCCTCTTCTACACCACGACGCTGAAGATGTTATTCTTAGTCCACAGGTTTAATGATGGAGAAAAAGGTAAAACTGTAACATAAAATACAAGGCAATATTACTTTGACTTCACAACGAACAGAATAAAATAACATTACCTCAACCGCGAAACTAGCAAGACGTCATGCGCTAACGCAATTAGCGAGCGCTAGCATAAATCGTAACGTCTTTTCATGCATGTTGCGGAACATTTTCGAACAGAAAACATGACAGAGCTGCTCATCGATAACAAAACAAACTTGTACATACCCACGATGCTACCAAAGGCGTGAGATGTCTGTGGATTGTACTGCATTAAACACGACGACTATTACGTTACTCTCATTGGCGATCTATCGCTCTACTTCTTGCTTCCGCGTACGCGTTTTCCGCTTTCATGACGTCACGTCCGGTTATGAACGACGCTGTTTGCAATGAAATCAACAAAGTTATGTTGCACAAAGAAATACTCTTAACTATGCATAGAAATATTAACGTTACTTTAGTGTAACTTAAATACAACATTCAAATTTAGATTAACTGTTAGTTGGGGACAGAACAATGACAATGCTGTTTTTTTCAATACTTATATTGTTTTGTTTGAGATTGAAACGCAGTTGAACAAAATCGAAATACAAATTGTTTCATTTGTAAAGAAACTGAAGAGATCCCAGTGATTTATTTTTGTTTCGTTTTTTTTAAAGGTATTTCCTATATACTGTATTGTTAATGTACACAGTGCCTCCTTTTTGTGATCAACCAAGTGATGCCAAATGACAAATAAATACATTATTAAAGACATCTGGTCATCTAGTTTTCTTTCTATACCAGACTGTTTTTTTTTTTAATCTGTGTCATTTCATCTTTGAGCATTATTGTTTTTTTGTTAAAAATGTGCTCGGGTGGTGTGGACGTCATAGACAATGCAAGTTATGATGTGATTTGGTTTATTTCACCTGATAACGGACTTTTTTTTTTAATCCTTTTTAATTTGCGTCAACCTCCGCTGAAATCAGTAATGGCATTTTTTTTAACAATGATTTTTTTTGCCTCTTGTAAAAATGTCCCTTGTTTCAAATCGTACAGCTGTACGTAAACGCATTCCATAATAAACGTTTGACTGTTTAACAATTCATCCAAAAAGAGGTGTCAGTGTCCCCCTCGCCCCAGGTTAAGAGTCTGGGTGTCATCCTTGATAGCATGCTCACCTTCCACTCACATATCAACACCATCACCCGCACTGCTTGTTTCCACCTCCGCAATATTAACAGACTTTGCTCTCCCCTCACCCCCCGCACCACTGCTATTCTTGTCCACAGTCGTGTCACATCCCGCTTAGATTACTGCAACGCTCTCCTCTTCAGCCTACCTCAAAAGTCTCTCCATAAAATCCAGCTGGTTCAAAACGCCTCTGCTCGCATCATGACAAAAACACCCTCCTAGCAGCACATCACCCCCGTCCTTCGGCAGCTCCACTGGCTCCCTGTCCAATACCACATCAACTACAAACTGCTTCTGTATACATATATGGCCATCCACAACCTGGCCCCTCCCTGCCTGTCCGACCTTCTTCAGGTGCATACCCCCACTCACTCCCTCAGATCTTCGTCCTCCCTCCGCCTGTCAGTGCCCCCTGCCCGCCTCAGCACTATAGGAACCAGAGCCTTCAGTCGCGCTGCTCCAAAGCTCTGGAACAATCTACCTCCGGACCTCCGAAACTGTACACCTCTCTCCACTTTCAAGTCCCATCTGAAAACACACCTGTTCAGGACTGCCTACAACACATAATTCTTCCATTTCATCTGTTTTGTGATTTTATGTCCTGTTTTTATACAATATTTCTCTTATTTATTTTTACATTGTATTGTCTGTACAGTGTCCTTGGATGGCATGAAAGGCGCTTTTAAATGAAATGTATTATTATTATTATTATTAAGAGGAAAGAAATCCGAAAAGGCCCTCGCATATCTCGCTCCCGCAGCGAGCTATAGCAGCACACCTCAGCGAGTCTTTGTGGCGGAAGAGAAAGGATGGAGGGAACAAGCGGTTTCCCTCGTAGACAAATGAAGGAAGGTACAACTGTTATTGTTTTTTTGTTTTTTAGCATCCAAGGGTAAATTGATAAGGATTAAATAGCTGTTTTAAAATTAATTTCATGGATGTGATTTACTTCAAAACTTGACTGTTTTGCAGTTTCGACATTCACCGTCTGTTTTAAGTCCTTATGTTACGGGTTGCCAAATATAAATTAGAGCTCACCTCGGTGAATATGATTGACCTGTTTCTGATTTGGCGACGTGGATGATTATGGGTCTGAAACTTGCTCAACGATGTACAGATGTATCTCACAAACCTAATTCCAATGAAGTTGGGACGTTGTGTAAAACGGAAAGAAAAACACAATACTGTGTTTTGTAAATCATGTTCAACCTATTTTTAATTTACCGAAGAGGATTAGGGCCAATGAAGAAAGGTTTTTTTAGGGCCAATATCACCTTTATCTCAGAATTCTGACTTTAAAGTGAGAATTCTGACTTTATTCTCAGAATTCTGACTTTAAAGTGAGAATTCTGACTTTTAGAATCTTGCCAAACTTGGTTTTTTTTCTTCATTGGCCCTAATCCTCTTCCGTATGTGTCTTAAATGTTTCAAAATATTTCAAATGTGGTATCTAACACAAGTAATGCTGAATGTGAATAGCAGTAGTTATTTTGCTGTAAACACAAAACACGCTTTATATTTCATTTAGTTTGAAGGAAAACCTAAACTAACTGAAACACTTAACTAAAACTTAAGTTAAGCGAACACACAGAACTGAACACAAAGGCTTGGAGACAATTTAGCCATAAAGTAGTGTAATTTGCAAATTACACACAAGAGAGCCGGGACAGGTATCGAAATCACGGCCTCTGCACCGTGAGGCGGACGTGCTTATTCACCGCGCCGCCCGCTGTGGTATAAATTTCCTGAACATAAATCCTCAGAGAGGGCTCATTAGGTTTTCCGGCAGGGGGCAGCATGCGGCCATCAAATGAGTTTTCGCGCGTATTTGTCTCCAGTACGACATCCACTTTTCATCCATCCAGTTTGTCCTCAAGATGCAGCCTGTCCCAGTTGATTTTTCGGTGAGAAGCTGGGTACACCCTCGACTGGTCGCCAACCAATCGCAGGGCACATATAACAAACAACAACAGTAACAGTCAAGCTCAAATTCTTATCTATGAACAAATTAGAGAATACCAACCACGAGCAGAGTATTCAAAATTCTACAAAGGATGCCCGAGTTGAAATTCAATTCCGCGTCCTCTTGACCGTGAAGCGGAAGTACAAACCACGAGGTCACTGCACCATTTGCCATTGCTCTCTCTCATCCACGTTGACGTTCTTCGTCAGCAGCATGTGGAAACCTCGGTCATTGGAATGAATGGCAATGACATAATTTTAATTGAATCACGAGGAGCCCGCCGTGCCACTTGCGCGGCGTTTATTAAATTACCGTAAATCATGCGTTTGCCGTGACTAAATGAGGTCATTTGACTTCACGCTAGCCTCACGATCACGAATCAAAAACAGCACAAAAATGTCATTTATTCGTCGGAAAAATAATAATAAACACAGCAAATCCAGAATGCCTGAATTATACAGAATAAAGTGGCCAAAGACTTTTAAGGTAGTTAGTTCGTCCGTTTGCTGCACTGACGATCAGAAATGAGAAACGTCCAAGAGGTGCACTTGTCTCCCCATTGGCAGAAGCAAGTGGAGACAAAGAAATAAAAGAATGTAACAAAAGTGGCCCTCTGCCCGTGCTCAATTGATTGCTTACGCTTTTGTGGTTTGGACTCGGACTCTTAACAGGGCAGATTTGCTTTGGAGTTTTGTTTTCATTTCTGCAAACAGAGCAAAAATCCTACAAGCTGACCTTGGCAGAAGCATTTATACAACGGAAGCTGCAAGCACTTATTTGAGGTATGCTAAAGAGCAGGAAAACAATAGTACAGTACAGTACACCGTTGTCATTGCAATCCAATTATGTTGGGTCTCCTTACAGTTTAAAAAAAAAAGTCATAAAAGGTTATGGTTAAGGTCATAATTCTAAAAAAAAAAAAAGATACAAGAAAGTTCTTCTATGCTCGCACACCAGCCGACCTTCTCAGCTGACGTCGTCACTCAACAACACTTAAAGGGTTGTAACGCAGCACCATCCATGTTAGCTTTGTCGGTCGGCCATGTCGATGCATTTTGATTCAATGTTTTCTGTTTAAAAACTGTTCATTTGTTACTTTTTGTGAAGTTCACTGTTGCCAATTTAGCAACAGAAGAAGAAGAAAAAAAAAACAACCAAGTGACAAGTTTTGTATTTGGTAAAATTATTTAGTTGGGGAACGTGTAAGTCGAGGCACCACTGTATTCTGAATCGGAAACTAAGAAAGTACAAGAGCCTTCCTGGTCTTTGGCTTGCTTCAGTCATCTTTTTTTTTTCCAAATGGGCCATCAGTCCAATTAAAAGTACATGTCGATGTTTCCCATCATTCCCGGTCATCCCAACCTTTCCTCATGCAAACAAGTCGCATCCGCTCTGTTGCGTTCACTTCCAACAATCCATCGTGTCATTTGGTGTCCATCAAACGTCACGTTTCAATTGCGCCATCCTTCACGCGCTCACAATGGCCAGCGACGGCTCCTTTCTCCGCAGAGGTCACGCCCGCGTTGACAAGCTATTCTTCGAACTCCGCTCAGACACAATTTTTTTTAAACCCACAAGTAAGGTCAGAGGTCGGAGGGGCTTGACCTTGGTTACTGCGCCGAGGTGTTGGTCGTCAAGTGAAACTTGTCGTTTGAAATCTTCTCACAGCTGAGCAAATGCAAGGAGCTTGTTAAGCTTTTTCTTATATTTTATCCATCGGCCAATAAAAAAAAAAAAAAAAAAAGAGAATGGATCATAAATGATCATAAATGCCTTTACAGTTTGCTGCAGATCTCACTGTACAGTATATGCAGATCCAGTGCTCCCCCCACACTTTTATGAACATTGCAAGGGATTTTTTACCCCCCACCAAAAAGTGTATATATATATATACATATATATATATATTTTGTTGTTCTACTTCTTCCATTCATAACTTTGCTGCTGTGAATTGGGAATTTCTCCATTGCGAGACTAATAAAGGTTTTCTTATCTTATCTTATATACATATGCGTGTGTGTGTGTGTGTGTGTGTGGGTGTGTGTGTGTGTGTGTGTGTGTGTGTGTGTGTGTGTGTATGTTAATTCCGAAGCGCGGTACAAGGCCACTGTCACTTGCATCCCAGATTCCCTTTTTAAGTAGCTGTCAATGACTGCACCCTGAGATGACATCATGAGAACCTGCACCCCCCCCCCCCACACACACACACACACACACGCACACACCTCTGTTGCTATGGTGCGGCAGCAAAAAGGCAACTGGATCCCAGTAATTCAAGGCTTTGAAGGAACAAACATATTAAAAGTCTTTTGAACACTCCTCTGCCAGCGGTCCCGTGTGACCACCGTCTACCTCGTGACTTTTCGAAGCACGTTAAATGACGGATCCCTCCCCAAGGCTCAACAATTCTCCTTGTGAGGTTTATTTTTTTCCTTTTAAAATAAAACAGCCTTTATTTGTTCCACAAAGGGGAAATTTGCATTGCAAAAACAGAACCTTGGGACGAAAGTTAGAATTTTTCCAGATACTTCCTGATCTGAAAACATCTACATTTTTGGATGCTGAATTTAAGATAATCTAACCAAACGTACAACTGAATCTGTGTGTGTGTGTGTGTGTGTGTGTGCGTGTGTGTGTGTGTGTGTGTGTGTGTTTGTGAGTAGGACATTAATTCTGCTTCATTTCATCCATCCATTTTCCGACCCGCTTTATCCCCACAAGGGTCACAGGGGGTGCTGGAGCCGATCCAAGCTGTCTTCGGGCAGTAGGCGGGGGACACCCTGAACCTGTTGCCTGCCAATCGCAGGGCACACAGTCCATGCTTACACTCATACCTATCGGGACAATTTAAAGTGGTCAATCAGCCTGCATGTTTTTCCGAATGTGGGTGGAAACTGAAGTACCCGGAGAAAATCCACACAGGCCCGGGGAGAACACGCAAACACCACACA